CAAGTGATACCACTTACATCTGCAGCGAGAGCAAACTTGTGGCTTTGTCCCTCATCAGCAAACCGGATAGCATACTGGCCAGCATCCGTGAAGAGCTACAGTGGTCATAACAACAAGATGATGTTTATCATTCCAAACTCATTAGTTCTTACAATCCCATTCCTTCTATAGTCTAGGAGCAAATGTAGTACAATTGAGAAAAAAAAGCAGTCCAAAAAGATGCAGGGTGTAGCATAATAAAATCAGATGTATCAGACTCCAACATGGATCTGTTGTGCGATAGAATACCACAATAACTGTGTCATCAGGCAATGGCAAGCCCAGTACAGTACAAAAAGTTACACACACAAAATTCTAAGTGTAGAAGAAAGCAAAAGCAGCACAAAAATATTAGATAGACAGTTCTTAGTGATCTAAGTTTAAATCATTAATCTGTATGTCAATATAAACATTATTTGTTGTCAAACATGCAATCGGTGCATAAGAGGCATGCATGGACATGGATGCCCATCAGGTATAACAAAAGGGTATGCTTCGATCATTATAAGATGAAAAGGATATGACCTCAAAGCCAATGCCCCTCCAGTTACGATCAATCTGAGCCAACAGTTTATCATCTTCATCCACCAGGCTAAAGGTCCAGTTCCAGAATCCTGGATTCTCAACAACTGCAAATTGCCTATTCCTGAAATATTATGAGATGATTTCAGGCAGTGTAGTAAGACAGGAACTACTCAACGAACTGGGAGATTTGAACTTAGTAAAAAAGATAAGGAAAATGTATCAGAATACCATATTACCCTAAGTACAGGTCATAAATTCTCCGCCAAAGGTGCCAACGCCTGTGGACTACACCTATCTCCTGACGAAACCCAAACAATGAAGCTTTATCAGCACTTCCCCATAGAGTCATATGCAGATGATAGTCCTACCCTAGTTAGAGCAATCAAGTGAAGAATATCTACATACCTTACCATCCACTTCTGCATAAATTGAGCTGTTGATCCACCAAAATGGCCTGCGAACCTAACCCGGTAGTACAATTCAATATTTTTTTCCACAAAATGCCATAGTGGCATGCAGAAATGTTACCTTAAATATCTCGTTACCCATAGCATCCGTTATTTCTGCAACAAATGGGCGCCTTGTTCTGAGTAGCTGAAACATGAACAAAAGGGGATTGGATTTGCGCTAGTAATCTCCAAGAAGTAAGAAATCAATAATAACGATACACTATTTTGCTCCATTAATTACAATTACAAAGCCAATATATATTTAACACTTGGCATCACGGTATCTATATACCAGTTATGAACGTAAGATAATAAGGCAGATAATGTACAATAACATAAAGAGAGAAAAAAGAGCGCACCCGGTGCAAAGAGCTCCCACTCTGTGCGGGGTCTGGGGAAGGGTGTTAGTGGCAAGCCTTACCCTCGCCTGTGCAATGTGAGGAGACCGCGACTCGAACCCGGGACCTTCCGGTCACAGGTGGTAAGACTCTACCGCTTGCACCAGGCCCGCCCTTCAGATAATGTACAATAACATGTCTAGACTAAATCAACAAGCACAACACCAAACATACCTTAAGAGGAAAAATAAGCATACAGAACAATTCTGAGAAACAACACCATCTGCTGTACAAGATTAAAGAATGGGATGGCCAACAACTTGCTACAAGTTCCAAGAGTCACCACTCTCCAACCCACCCAATTCTCTCCTCTGTCCATTTTACCAATCGCAGAAGCTAGATTTAACTACCTTTAACGTTACGGAATATATTTAATTTAAGTGCCTTGCTGCGCAGTCTTACGGAAAACATCGCAGCCAACTCTAATTGCATCAACCCCTACAATAACAAATTCTTTGCCAAACCACCCAAGATAAGATAAGAGCACAGTAATATAACGGAGCCCTGATTGAGTAATTTTAGTTATCTGTCCAACAACTCCAACCTACTCAATAATGATCCGTGACTGAAAGTGAAACCCTGCCAATACTTGTTCTTTAGCACAGGGAGAACAAAGATATTTTTTTAGTCCCTCAATAGCATATGATGCATGAGGCAGTGATAATGTTTCATATGGAGATAAAATACAGTAGATAGTGACAAGGTACAATTAACAATATTGACTGCACATAGAGTATATCAGAATAAATAACTAGATCCAAAAATCCCAAGTACTTTTTTTAACGCAAAAAAATCCCAAGTATTATGATTTATGATGCAACCAATTTGAAGTTTGAACGCGAAATCAAATACTTCCAACATAAGAACTAGTGGACTGCTATGCAGGTTAATTGAAATTTCTTGACCCTTGACTCAATTTCAAAAAAAAAATGCCATGAAATCCGTAGAGCAAGCTAACACAAGTTTATTTAGGATCAAGAAACCACGTAGACATACCTGCCTAAAGATGACATTGCTTATCTCTCGAATAAAACCTACTGGCTAGACATTGAAAGAACAAGGAAGTCAATGCTTAAAACATATAGAATTAGAATACATAATAAGGATAATGCAGCAAGGGAACTGATTACAACAAGGACAGAATAAAACTTACAGATTGTGGAAAGAGTGGGTCCATTATGATATACCTGCTCTCCTACAGTCCAGATAATAATATGTAAGATTTTAAAAAGAAATGGAGAAGCATCTTAAACCAGAAACTTGCTGCGCATGCACTAGTCTGTACACACAATTCACCTGCTCAAAAGCAAACATGATGTTCACCCACTCAATATCCCTGGCAATGATGAGGTTAGCTCTTGCAAGAAGCGGAGCCAGTTTGGCCTATAAACACAGGGAACATTGCCAATCAAGATAAAACATCAAGTAGCCGGGCACAATCAAGCAAAGAAGGTAGGAAATATTACGAAATAGGGGAAAATAATTCAACACATTTTTAAAGGATTCGGCAGTTTACAAAAACTTACAGGGCAGCAAGTTCATGGATCAATTACTCTGCCTAACAAATGCATATTGACCTCCAGTTCCAACAATTTTTCTTAATTTCTGAAATGCATGGTAATACTATCTGTGTGCAATCTTTTTTCTTTTTTTTTTGAAAGAACTATCTTAGTGCAATCTCTATAGCCAGTTTGGCCTATAAATACATTTAAAAATATTATCAGTTATTACAGTAGCTAAAAAAAACAGTTCTTTAAATTTGAACACAGGGAACATTCCTAACGAAGATAAAGCATCGAGTAGCCAAGTAAAATCTAGCAAAGAGGTTAGCAAATATTAAGAAATAGGGAACAATAATTCAACAGATTGTTAACTGAGTGAGAAGTTCACGATAACTGAGTAATTGACTTGGCAGTATAGGATTCTCACACTAATTAGTACTGTATTTAGTAGCAATTATTACTCAGCCTAACAAATGCATGTTGACCTCCAATTCATAATTTTTTTAATTTCTGAAAATAAGAGAGCATATTATCTTAATGCACTCTCTGTAGCCCAATTATCGAATAGTCTAATATAGCATCAGATCAAATCATGTTTTTTTTTGAAGAAACAGATCAAATAATGTTACCACACATAAACAATGTAAAACAAACTACAATCAGAAGGTTCAATTAGAATTTCAGAATCCGCTTGCCTCGAAGGGGTTGAGGTCCCGGTATTCGTCCTGATAGTTCCTTGACGGTGCCTCCCTGGCCGCACCTGCAGCCTCCACAGAACTCGCGAACGCGCCGAGCGAAGGCTCCGCACCGCCGCCGGCGTTCCCGGGTGACGCGCCGACGCCCCACCTCCTCGCGGCCTCCTTCTGCTTCCTCAGCTCGTCTACCCACAGCTTCCGCAGCCACTCCCGGGGCACCGCCGGTGACCCATCCCGGCCGCCGCTGGCGAACCCGTGGGATCCTCCCTTGACGAGACTAGGGGTGGACCTCGCCGCCGCGGAGGCCCTCCCGGCCGCGGTGGCGTGGGAGAGCAGCCTCGATAGCCACCGCATCGCCGAAGCGCAGAGAGGCGGGAGCCGGGAGAGGAGAGAAACGCGGGTGTTCTGAATTCTGACGTTCTAGAGGATTCTAGAAGTGTAATTGATGGATGAGATCATGAGAGTCATGAGACTCTGTGTGTGTGACCCCCGGAGATCGAGGAGGTGGCTGTTGCTGCGGGTGGGCTGGGCTTGTTTAGTTCTTTCATTCGAGTTGGGCTATGAGCCTTTATGCGGGGCGTAGCTCAGAACTGGGCTATGTGTATCGGGTTATATCAGGCCTCATATGGAAAACTATCCCGAACGGTACTCCTGTTTTTCTGCATAATTCCCTGACAGGTGTTTAACAAAACCTCAAACTCACACACCTGTGCTATATTGGCTGCCATTGCTGTGCTGCGGACGAGCTACCGTGAAATCACCTCACCTGTGCCGAGGTAGTCGGTAAGGAGTGCCGGGTACGCCGCGATGTTGACGACGCAACTGAAGTGCTTCTACGCCCCGAGGAGCGAGCCGGCCAAAGGCGCGGCCAGCCCACAGGACGAAGCCGCCGTTGCCCGGGAGCGTGGCCGCGAGCTCGGCGGTGACGAGCGGCTCCGGGACGTCCCACGCGAATGAGAAAAACGAGCGGAAGAACCGCCCAAGGGCGCCTAGCGGGCTACCGGCGGCGGGACAGAGGAGGAAGACGAGATGCGAACGGGAAGGTGGTTCACGGGGTTGCGATCCCTGCGGACTTGGGCTCGTCGTCGTCGGCTTGATGTGGTAGGGATTGTTAGGCCACGCGTCGGCCATCCAGGCGATGTCGGGTACATGATGTCCGATCCGAGTCCGCAATCACGAGTCGAGCCGGATTTGGTGTCACCGTGTTACTGTTGGCGGCAGCCTCAGGATACACACACACATACACACACCGATGCAATGCACAGAACAGATCCGATGAAGCAGAGGAACAAACGCGTGCGTGCACGAGACGGAATTCTCATCTCACGTACACATACATAGAGATGTCCAGCTCCAACTCCAGGCGGCGGGGGCGCGACCAGCACAGCGACGATGCGGCGGCCAAGAGGCCACGGCGGGGGCAGAGAAAAAAGCACATCTACCTCGTCATATATAGAAGATTGGGAGATGGGGTACAGCATCCACAAGCTGGACATCGACGACTTGGACTCTGACGCCCGCACCGCCATCAGCAACAACAAGCAGCTGGGGTGCCTCCCCGAGCCCTGCGCCATCCCCATCGAGGCTTCGGTGGACGGGTACCCTGCAGATGTAACCGCCATCGGCAGCAAGATCTTATTCGTGACCGACCGGTTCAGCGACGAGGCACCGATCCTCATCTACGACACGGAGACGGCGTCGCTGGCCATCGGGCCTCGCCCCACGCCCGCGCTGCGCCCCCTCGGGCACATATTCTTCGTGCCCGTGGACGAGCGGCTTTACGCGCTCAACCCGCGCCGTGAAGATCATCTGCAGTGCTCCTTCGAGGTGATTTCACGGGGGCCTCGCGACGAGGAGGACGAGTTCCGGCTGTCGAGCGGTGGTCGGTGGGAAGCGTCCCCGTGCCGATGCCTTTGGGCAACCGGGATGTCGTCACAGCCTACGCCGTGCACCCGGACGGGCGCACCATCTTCGTGTCTGCAAAAGAACTGTGGTCGAAGGAGGGGGAGGGAGGTACCACCCACTCCTTCGACACCCGGAGTTCGGTGTGGACGCGGCACGGCGAGTGGCAGCTGCCTTTCTTTACTACATCGACGAGGTGGACGCGTGGGTGGGGCTTCGCACTTTCGCAGGGATGGGTTCCTTTGCTCCTGTGCCATCCCTTCCCGCCGTGGAACAGCCGAGCGGCCGGACTCGAAGCTCGGGAGGAAGACGCTGTTTAGAGAATCCCAAGAGACATGTGGGGTAGCCTACAGGTGCCACGCTCACGTACATGGGCGACGCCAGGTTCTGCCTTGTCGAGTGCGCGGCCCGCCAAGGCGTCAGATGGCGGGACGCCTCGGACGGTGAAGTCGACGGCTGTGTCCTACATGTCACCATATTCGGCGTCAAGTATGACAAGAGGGGCGACCTACAAACTACGGATCACCGTGGACGTTCGTACCTTGTCTCTAGGTATGGTCCCGTGTTTGCAGCGCAGACGTTCTGGATGTAAAAGTTAGAAAGTTACTACTTGATTTACACTACACTGCTTGAGAAGTAAACAGACCGTCGTGTAAAGCATTTGGCACACGATTGGAAGAGACATGCTTGAGGAATCATTGGAATTTTAGCATGTAATAATTTTCTAAGAACGCATATACTCCCTTGCCGAAACGATGGGACCATGATATCCACTGACGCTTCTACACAGTCCAGACGATCAATATTGACTAATTATAATCGACAATGAGATATTCCACTAGCAAATAAGCACCAAAATGAGATCATCAAAATAAAAAAAAATTGACGAAGCACTATAAGATAGAGTATAATTTTATGAAAAGAATCTCAAAACTAGTTTCACAATTTTCTGGGGTGAAACAAATTCTTATGAATTTTCTAAGATTAAATCCAATTTTAGAATTTGAATTACATTATTTTTCCATGTATATTTATATAATTTTTTGTTTTTTTTAGAAAATATTTCTAGTTCAATTTACCTCCGTTAACTTTTGACTTAGTGTGAGTCACCCCCATCTAATTGTTTCAAAAAAAAAGAGTCACCCCCATCTAACGTGGTACTACGGGGGCGTTCGGCTGACCCAAAAAAACACTGTAGCGGCTGAAAGTTACTGTTCACGACTGAATCTGTGAGAGGAAAATACTGTTCCGGATGAAAAAAGAAGCAGATCAAGCCGGGTTTGAGGTCAGCCGAACAAGGCCTACATCAGCAAAACCGTCTAAGGTGTAAAATAAACGCTTTTAAAAGTTGAGGGGAGTTTAAAAAAATGATTTTATAGATCAGGAAGCAAAATCGGATGACCGTGATATTTGAGAGGGGTAAATCAGACAATTTTTTTCTTCTGAAAAGAGAAACTTTTTTGGCTTAGGGTTGAAGCGGTCCAAGAGCACAGCGCAAACTCACGACGCTTAAGGGCCCAGCACAGCCGAGTCCACGCCTTGCGCTGCTCACTAACGGCACGACCCAGCTCCTCGCTAAGCACTGATGCGGGAGCGACGCTAGCCGTCCGATCAGAGTGGGTGGTTAGGATTTTCCCGGCCAAAGTGAACGGGTAGAAAAAAAAAGACTAAGCATACTCTAGTGACATTCAATCTTAAGACTAAATCACCGCCCATATACCTAGGTAAAGACATCCTTCGCTACTTGCTCGAAATGTCACGACACCGTCAAAAGGCCTATGATGTGGAACAGAGGTAGTAGTATAGTGGAGCTACTTTGCCTAATTGTCAATCCACGTTGAGTCAAGGGTAGGGTAGCTGGATTATCAGCGCTCATCGATTTGATTGGCAATACCACCAGCTTTATAGAAAGAAGATAAGACCCACCATGATGAGAGAAAATGAGGCATCTGAGAATAATCAATATCACCGTGCAATACAAGGAACGCAATATTATTGGACACAAGTGGTGGTCTGGTTCCTGGTCTTGCCCACTTCGATTGTGCAAACAACAAAGCAGACAGAGACAAAAAAGCAAATGAAATTCGTCCCTTGTCGCCACTAAGGAACGTAACCATCTCGTTTTTGCCACTAGGCAAAAAATCATCTCACTTTGGTCTCTCATTTGAACGCCCTGGTTGCAAAAGCAGAAACAAATGGCAAAAATGAGGTTGCATGATTCCTCAGAGGCAAAAACAAAAGTTCCCCATAAGCGTTGCTGACTTGCAGTGTTAGTTTTTTTTTAATTCTCGCACAGTGTTAGTTGATACTTATGTCTTGCGGCATTTTTCAGTCCGTCAAAAAGATTTCTCGAACAAAAAAGTCCGTCAAAAAGAACATACACTTGCAGTATGTTCTGTCCCTATCTTACTGTATCTTGTCGCCTTTATCCACCCATTGAATTACCGAGGAACTTCGTCCAAACGGGAACCCAGACAGAGACCATCGAGCCAGCTCTGTCCTACATATTCAATCCCTTAAGGGCCCGTTCGTTTGGCAGGGAACCAGCTCTTGGATCCATTCGTACCGAGAATACTTCACTAATTTGTACTAGTTTTGATCAGCTAGAAGGGTTTCTGGTTGGATTTCACCCAACCGAACGAGCCCTAAGTCAAAGACAAACAGAAGGGGGGGTGGGGGGGAATGGTTCTCCTTTGTCTTTGGCAGATCCTCTTCTTTCTCACATGCTTCTCTCCATCCTTTGTTCATCCTTTGGAACCAAGCACCTACCGTTGCTCCAATGTTTCCATTCCATATCCTTTTGGCGTTGCTGGTAAGAGCCCCTTCCTGTCCCGAAGATTTAAAGTTTTGTGTGGATCCAGTGGTCCGTTGCTGCCCATTGGAAATAGCGTGCTTGGGATTCTTGACATCTCACTGCTTGATGGTCTTGTGAGCATATTGGCTAGTGCCAATTTTCAGCAGTGCAAAGGGAAGAACTCTGGCGTTAACCTTGAGGGGACCATCTTCACATTCTCAGACACAAGAAACAAGTTCACAGCTCTGGGTTGTAACATGGTGGCCATGCTGTTGAATGGTAGTACGGGGTATAGCGGTGGCTGTGCTTCCTTTTGCTCTAGTAAAAATAACATCATCAATGGCTCATGCTCTGGTGTGGCTTGCTGCCAAGCACCGGTTCCCAAAGGGTTAAAGAAGCTGGAGTTAGAGTTCAGTAATATAACCAACAAGGGCAGCGATTTTTCGCTATGTGGTGAGGCCTTCATTGTGGAGCAGAACTCATATGTGTTTTCAAGTCTTGATTTGAACAACACAAATAACACAAGACCTCAATACCGACCTGTTGTGCTCGAGTGGTCTATAAATGGTAGCAGCTGTGAAGAGGCAAAACTGTCCAGATCATATGCCTGCCGAGAGAATAACTACTGCTACAACTCATCAAACGGAATTGGTTACCGCTGCAATTGCTCCCATGGATTTGAGGGGAACCCATACCTGCAAGGGCCTGATGGATGCCAAGGTAACAAACTCTTCTATGATTATAATTCCGGGTCTCGCGGTCACTAGCTTTTGTTTCTTGAACTAAATACCGGTCCATGTCTGATATCTGTTTTTTTTTCCCTTCATGTGGCTATTGGCAAGATATCAATGAATGCACCTCCAGAAATCCGTGCACCAATAAGTGTGTCAACACAAAAGGTGGTTTCCAGTGCATGTGCCCAGCAGGGATGAGCGGCGATGGCTTGAAGGAAGGAAGTGGTTGCAATGGAGTAGGCACATTAGTGATTGCAATAGGTAAATGTCTAATAAAACCATAACTCAGTCAACAAGTGATAAGTGTGATTATTCAATCATGAAGCATGCCGAGTTGAATAAATGCTGCACCCAATTAAAAAAAATCTGAATTTTATTGCGCCTCTATCGCAGTTGCAGGATTATCTCTGCTAGTGCTTCTCCTCATCCTTGGCTTCTGGACTCATTGGCTTGTTAAGAAGAGGAAACTTGCCAAGACAAGACAGAGATACTTTATGCAAAATGGTGGCTTGTTGCTGAAGCAGCAGATGTTTTCTGAGAGGGCACCACTGCATATATTCACCTCCAGTGAGCTTGACAAAGCTACCAGCAACTTCAGTGATGACAATATTGTTGGTAGAGGGGGATTTGGGACTGTGTACAAAGGCATATTATCCAATCAAGTGGTTGTGGCAATCAAGAAGGCACAGCGAGTTGATCAAACCCAGACGGAACAGTTCGTCAATGAGCTGATCATTCTTTCACAAGCGAGCCACAAAAATGTGGTCCAGCTATTAGGATGTTGTCTTGAGACTGAAGTTCCCTTATTGGTTTATGAATTCATTACCAACGGGGCCCTTTTTCATCATCTTCACAATACATCGGTCCCGATGTCATGGGAGAGCCGTCTAAGCATCGCAGTTGAAACTGCATCGGCACTTGCATACTTACACTTAGCTACAAAGATGCCAATAATTCACAGAGATGTCAAGTCGTCGAACATACTTCTTGATGAGAACTTCACCGCAAAGGTGTCCGATTTTGGTGCCTCAAGGCCAATACCGTACAATCAGACCCATGTGACAACATTAGTGCAAGGGACACTAGGGTACATGGACCCTGAGTACTTCCAGACAAGCCAATTGACTGAGAAGAGTGATGTGTACAGCTTTGGTGTGGTACTCATCGAGCTATTGACAAGGAAGAAGCCTATTATGGATGGTATGACGGAAGATGTTAGAAGCCTAGCACTGCAATTTAGTATGTTATTCCATGAAAATAAGTTGTTGGAAATTGTTGATCCTGTAGTAGCTGAAGAAGCTGGAATCAGACATGTTGAAACGGTTTCAAAGTTGGCGTTACGATGCTTAAGGTTGAAAGGAGAAGAACGGCCAAGAATGATAGACGTTGCAATTGAACTTGAAGCCCTGAGAAGGCTGATGAAACAATACTTTATCCTGAAGAACGAGTCTATGCTTCAGGAGTCATGTTGCCATGAAGAAATGAGCATTGACGCACCATCAAGTTTGTGCCTTGGCATTGCTGGCGATGGAAGCATGGAGATCATTCCACTTCCATGTCCACCCAAAAGTACCGCATCCTATCCCTAACTCGTAACTATCACAAATAAAAGGTTTTAGCTGGCTTCTACATTCTCAATTGTCAATCCCGTCTTAGTAATATCTTTGTCTTGTGTTTAGCTTCCAACTACCCGGTTAATGGAATACGGTTATAAGGTCTTCTTTTAGTTATTTGACCTATCGTTATTCAACTATGTTCTTTTTTTATTCAGCTTGTAGTTCAAAAAGTGACGATAGTTCCGCTAAGTTGGTATCTCTACTGTATCAAAAGTCAACAAAGAAATCAAGAGACTTATATATGATTCTCTTAATCCACTCATGGACCATTCTATAGTTCTTCATTTGCATACGTTCTATCAATGCCTGTTAGATAATCTACTGCTGCCTTGTGTGAACACAGCAAGGGAAGGCGGCGTCGAAAGGCCCCCTGCTGCGATACTGTAGCCGCTGCAGGTGCAGACGCCGCATGGCTCACCTGCAACACTGTAGCCACATGCAGAGGCCAACGCAGAGCCAGCCCTGTATGTTATCTAGTCACTGTTGCAAAAGGGCAGCTGTACTGGAACTAGATGGATAGAGTTGTATAAATAGACTACCACGGCAACTCAGTAAAGAGAGTTCAGATTTGCCATCTCCCAGACAGGGCTTCGGCCAACGCTGGTGTCTTGTACTGTGTGTGTATGCTCTGTTCTCCCTTCTTCTTCTAGCTCTAGCCATAGTGTGTGGGGACGGACAACGCTTGTTTGTGATCGGCACGGCTAGTGGGTGCTCGACAACATTAGCGGGTGCTCGGCAAGACTGGTGAGTGATTTACTCACCTGAGCCGATGATCCTGTGGGCCAACAATACCGTGATGCGGGTTTAGATTTGCTTCTGACTACAACCTATTCCAAAGGCAATTTTTGTATTAAGACAGTCATATCTAGTTGCATTTGCATATTCTACCGAAGCCAGTCATGGCTTTGGAGTTTGGGTAACATGGGCTCATCACTCATAACAAATACAATAAGTGAAAGGTTGTCTGCCTTGCAATTGCCAGTTGACATGTGATGCTATTGGATATGTATAGCCAGATGCTTGTACACATGTTGTTGTAGACGCCGAATTGAATCTAGGATCACACACTAGCAATGGCTAGCATGCCCGAAGTCGCACACAACCTAACCACGCAGCGAGTAACTCCAAAATCAGTAGGTACCGACCAGCCGGTCGGTAAAACCGCTTTGAAGCCCGTTTATTCGCCGATACAGCTCGAGAACACCTCCCGGGAAGACCCGACAAGGAGATGCACACCTAGGTTGTCCTATGGTCAACAAGGCCACCAGAACGTCGCCGAATCTCGACGAGAGACACGACAAACAACAGGGGATTGGAAAAGTTAGGACAAAGGGGTAAAAGTTCTAATTTGAACGATTGGATATTGGACTCCAACCGATCTCAGAACAGTAGAAACATCGGCCCAGCCGGTTTTGTCAGGTCTGAGCAGGCCGGCTGGGCAACCTAAAGAGAAACTAGCCTATCTATCTGGTTTGGGAAACCGGCCAGGCCAGTTTTGGTAGACTGGGCCCAAAATCGTCTTTCTGTGACTCCAAATGCAATGATCCAAATAATTTTCTTGATCGTCTTGACACCAGAACGTCATCATGAAGTCTTTTACACGCCTCAGCCACTTTTTGCTATCAGCTGTTGTATACTTGTATCAGTGTACATTAAGATGTGTCCATTCCGATTGTACTCTTGCCTACCATAGATCCGAGGCTTCTCTTAGTAGCACAACATTGTCCGATAGTCAAGCCTTTGACTATTCATGTTGTCATCAGCATCATCACCTCACATGCATGGACGATACATCAGATGGACGTCAAGAATGTGTTTCTTCATTGTCTGAAGCAAGCTCCTCAGATGTTAGCGTTTTGCTACGTACATCCTCCGTTTGAGGTTTGTCGCATCATCCTTGGACAGATCTCTCTTTGTTTACAAAGGAGACACCATCACCATGATGGCCTCTTCGCTAGCTCCGCAACAACACATCACTAATCGAATCCATGCCGAGTTTTCCATGACGAACATTGGTGACCGGCACTAATTCCTTGGATTCTCCAACGGTATGTTTGTCTCCCAGCACCGGTATGACGTGGACTTGCTTCAGTGTGCTGGCATGGCCGAGTGTCACTCTACGTCACTCTCTAGTATTTTATGTTGAATCGACCTGATTTGGCATATGTGATACCGTAGCGTTTGTCACTTCAAGCATGATCGCCGCGAGCCTCACCTCACGATGATCAAGCACATTCTGCGCTACGTGAAGGGCATGCTCTCAACTGGGCTTCACATCAATAGCGGTACTGTTAGCCCCTTACCACTAGTAGAGAACAGATCTTTCATCCGAGACTAAAATAGGCTCTAGTCCCGGCATTTTTTGCGTCCGGGACTAGAGAGACCTTTAGTCCCGGTTGGTGTCTCCAACCGGGACTAAAGGTCTCTGCCCAACGGCTACTGCGCTCGGCACAGTGGCAGGGGACCTTTAGTCTCGGTTGGAGACACCAACCGGGACTAAAGGTGAACCTTTACTCCCGATTGGAGCCACCAACCGGGACTAAAAGTCCTCCAACCTTTAGTCCCAGTTGGTAACACCAACCGGGACTAAAGGTAGACCCTTTAATCCCGGTTGGTAACACCAACCGGGACTAAAGGATCCCTGATGGGTTAGTTCAAAAGGGAAGCATCACATCCATTGTTAGATGTGTTGTGTAGGTGGGGTGGTAAGCTACGCGCGAGGCAATGTATGATGTCTTGGGTTCGAATCTCACGGGACGCAGCAGTGGGAGACATTATTTTTTTTAAAGCTAGGAGGACCTTTAGTCCCGGTTGGTGTTATGCACCGGGACTACCCGACCCGGGCTCCTTTAGTCCCGGATACTTACTCCCGGGTGGACAACCGGGACTAGAGAGGGTTCTCCACCGGGAGTAAAGCCCGTCCCTCCACTAGTGTACAGCATACTTCCACACCAACTGGGTTGACTGCCCTGACTCCAGATGCTCTACTATGACAATGTTAGTGTTGTTTGTCACTTACGAAAGCTAATGCAATGAAGATCTCTAGAACCAACAATGACTTCGATGCATGTAACAATTCCTACGTATTGGCGTGACACCACCAAATTCCAAAATAAAAAGATTTGCCACAACCAACAAATCAGATACACATCAATTAGATCTAGAATAGAGGTGTTTTTAATCTAGACCTTTCCTTATTTATCCTATTTTAACAAATAAGAAATTAAACAAATTCATATTTCACAATTATAGCCATCCGATCTAATTAAATGGACGGCTCACATTTATTTGGAAATATCACAGCAGAGCCCCAATAATTAATCATAATTCATAATCAATTGTACATTGTCAGGAAGATCATCTTGGCATATGAGAAGAAGATAACATTTCAGCCTCCATGCTACGTTGTGTGCTTACTTCTGATGACTGCAAACTGGGAATTGGTCTGGACTCACTTAGATGTTTCTCTTCTTGTTCACTATTTTCCCGGACCCATTCATCTTTTCTTGTGGGAGTCTGGTCTATGGTGAATGACCTTCTTAGCCCATGTAAAACTGAAGCCACCACCACCATGGCAGGCCGTTCTTCTCCCTTCACGTTTAAGCACCTTACTGAAAGCTCTGCAACGGCATAACATTGGTCTTCGCTTGCTTCAGCCAAAATGTGCGCCTCTATCTCCTGAAGTAGGCGCCCTTCATTAAATAGAACCACCAGATGCATAGCCAAGTTACATGATTCTTCAGGCCTTGCTGCAGAAATAGGTTTCTGCCTGGTCAACAGCTCTGCAAGAACGATCCCAAAACTGTAAACGTCACTCTTCTCAGTGAGTTGGCTGCTTTGGAAATATTCGGGATCAAGGTACCCAATAGTTCCCTGAATAAGAGTAGTTATATGAGTTTGGTCAAATGGGACTGATCTTGATGCACCAAAGTCTGCTATTTTAGCCACGAAGTTCTCATCCAGTAGAATGTTGCTTGATTTGATGTCTCTGTGTATGATTGGTACAGAAGACGTGGAGTGCAGATAGGCAAGTGCATCTGCAGTTTCTGCAGCTATCCTTAAGCAATCTTCCCATGTTAGAGTGCGAGTTGCATTTCTGTCGTGGATGTGCTGGAAGAGTGTTCCATTAGGTATGAACTCATAAACCAACAATGGTACCTGTGTCTCTAGACAGCATCCCAAAAGCTTGACAACATTTGGGTGATCAATCTGTGACAAGATGGCAATCTCATTGACAAATTGCTCCACTTGGCTCTCATCGAACACCTTGGACTTCTTTATGGCGACTATAGTTTGATCTGGAAGAATGCCCTTGTACACTGTGCCATGTGCACCTCGGCCAAGGATTCAACTCTAGCTATAGTTGTCAGTAGCAGCCTTGAGCTCTTCTGCACTAAATATCTTTGCTGAATATTGGTCCTCGCCTTGAGATGTGATTGTTGAAAATCTCTGCTGCAGTAGTAAGCCACCATTCTTCCTGAACAATTCTGCTCTCTTTCTTCCTAGCTCTCTTTTCTTTATCGCCCAGCAGTAGCACGATGCAGCGGTAGTCACTGTAACCATAAGTGCAAGACCTACACCTGCAGATGTGGGAGTAACATTACTGAGACCAATGCAAATAGGACTGAATGACTGATGACTGTTGAATTGATTATTTTGCTGCAGATTGTGCATGATACAAGATTACTTGTGTTCTGACTGGTCCCATGTAGCAACATTGAGATAATTTTCAGGACTAATGTAAACTGTAATTTCTCTCTTTATCATTACCAACGGCATGTTTAATCCTTTTTTTAAAAAAAAAGAGTGAATGACATGTTTAATCTACTTTACTTCCTTTTTTATTCATAAACCATAATGCTAGCTTATATATATGATGAGGCCTTATTTAAGGAGTTTGTTGATTAATGTGCACTGACGTAATGTGGTAAGCATATGATATATATTATATGTATTGAGGAAGTTACCCAAAATTGTGTCTAGAGGAAAGTGCTTTTGAGAGCCAAAATAGAAGCCACTGCCCTTTTTCCGGCCATCACCACTCATCCCTTCAGGGCAGGCACACGAAACAACTCCTTCCAAATCAATGCAGTACTTAATGTATGTACAAGGATTCTTTTCTGGGTGATCACACATGCTGATACCTGATAAATAGCCAAGGATCAGCAACGACCTCTCTTTAAAGAGATTTTCCATAAATAGAAAAGGGCACCGCACTAAAGACCCGGTAATATAAGGCCTTGTCTGGCTGCAGTCTAATCCACATATATGCATCAGGATGAATTGGAATGAAAATTAAAACTGTTAATTTTCTATTCCAATACACCCTAATACATGTGGATTAGAGTGAATTGTGGTGCAGCCAAACAAATCTCAAAGGATGATAAAGTCATGATGAACTAATGGATTCGTACACTCATAGCAAACAAGTTATGTGGTACCCGTACCTTGCGGTTGTTGCGTAGGAGAATCTGCAGCACAAAATAACGTTCATTGTTAGATCTTTCGTCAGTACCTCTAAATGTAATCGAGAAATATATAGGCATATATCTACATTAGTTCAGGATTCAAGTATTTGTTCCATGAGAGACAATTGTTGAATGCAAGTGACTGGGAGTAAGCTCGAAAGACAAAATAAATCAGTCAGTTGTAGAATGATTTAGAAGCTAACCTAGTTTCTTTAAATATCCTAGAAATCTTTTCGGCATGTTGCATTCAGAAATTATGTTATAGTGTACTGGGTCTGAGGGTTTATGTTTCATTTTTTCTTTGAAAATATAAAAACAATAGGGATTAAAGATTTGGGAAAATTGTGTTCTTGCCTTTGCTCAGTACTTCAATTGTGATTTTGCTCCTGTTTTTCAACTTTGTGTTTTTGCCCTTGTTATTTTGAACTGAACTATCCGTCTACCCCTACTTTGGATGTCCGTCTGATGCCCAGTGAATAGATAAATTAAAAAAAATCCAAACCTCAAAAGAAAAGACCAAATGCCTACGCTGCCCCTTATCCCTTCTAGGTTGTTCCTCGACTCCTCCAAAACACCGACTCCTCCAAAACACATCGGAGAGGGAGCGGGCGGTGAGGGCGTGCGGCGGCGCGGAGCGGGCATGTGGCGCGTGACTGCTGCTCCGGGGTGCGGGACCAGGAGCGATCGGCGGCGGGTCTCCGGCAGCAGCGCCCTGATGCGCGGTTGGGCTACAGGGTGGGCGGGCGCGGCGACCGCACGGCTGGGCTGCAAGGCGGCAGGCCGCGGCGGCCGTGTGCAGTGCGAGCGCGCGGCCTCCTCGCCAGCCGGCGATGCGGGCACGAGGGCCACCGTGGGTGCCAGCGCCGCCGCAGACGCGAGCTCTGTCGCTGGCACGAGTTCCAGCGGGCGCGCGTGGTTCGTCGAGGTCACGGCGTACTGCTCCGGCGGCCGACGAAGGAGGAAGAAGCGGATCCGGCAGTCTCTGCGACGACGAGGTGCACGAACTGCAACGGCCAGGAGGAAGAAGCTGATTACTTGTTCAGTTACTTGCAAGCTCGGTGGTCTCGTTACAGGAAGCATCACGATTTTCTGGATTCATTTATCAGACGGTACTTTTCAAGAGTTTACGATCTTTGCTATTCCCAATTGTAGCAACGCATTTTACGACCTAGTAATTTCCAACTGTAATTTGACTCGGTGGATTAGGACCGCAACAGTTTAACACATTTCCAACTGTGATTTTGAATATTTTTCCAATATTAAATCTGATTTGAAATATTGCAAATTGTGCCAAATAAATTTGATCAAATCGAACGATTTTTATCAAAATACAATATAAATGTCTTATTCTAAATTAGGGGTAAAATCACAAATAGCCATAAAAAACAGAGACAAAATCACATGGGCATATTTGTCCTTTTTATAAAAGTTAATACCGTTAGAAAAGGATGACGGAATAGGGGCAAATTGATGCTTTGTTTTGAAAACACAGGGGTAAATTCACAAAGTTAAAAAAGTTGGGACAAAACAGGGGCAAGAATGCAAGAGCCCCTAAAGATTTCTACATAGGCTAAATTACATTCAGAAAGTATTTTACAATATACAATTGGCTTCAATAAGCATAGGTAGCTAAAATCACTATTCCTCTGTCCACGTATATAAGAACTTCTAGAGTTTTTAAGGCGTTAAAAATAGATAGAATAGGCGCATGTACGGATGTGCCCATCAGAAGTGGACTACGGTTTTTTGCATTAGTTCAATAGTTATAGCCCCATTGTTCAGTAACCCCTGGTTTTAAATGGCAAGTCACCGCCTAAAAGAAAATATATTGCATAGTTGTTGAATTAAATTAATGCTTGGAGATTCGGTACCAAAATCCTTATCAGCCTGTTCGGTTGGCTGGTTCGTTTCGTTGCTGGTTCGTAAAGAAGTACCGCTAGTTGGTTTGTGTGAGAGAAAAATACTGTTCCGGCTGAAAATTTACGATCGTTTACGACAAGCCCCAACCAAACGAAAAGGCTATATATTTGTGGACAACTCTAAAACACTAATCCTTACGATACAATGGAGAAGGTTATGTTGAAATATTGCGTTCAGATAACAATATTCTAACATTACTATTCTACTGTTACTAATTGAAGGCCTCAATCTTTTTTAGCATGTGTGCTCATGAGTTTTCACTAGCACAACAGAATCTAAGATTCGGGGGGTGCTCCAGCTATGGACAAAATCAAACGCGACCCATCCAAACAGCACAGAGCTGCTAGTCGATCCCATACTCAGCACAGAGCAGAGAACGGCCATGAAACAGAAACAGAGCAGCTGGCCAAGCATGAAGACGGGCAGGTGGGTGATGGGGGTGGAGTGCAGGGGACTGGACCACGCGGGCGCGCTGGGGCTCATCGCCATCGGCAACCGGCTGGTGGTGGCACTGCAGAAGTTGCGGCACCCGCACACCCAGAACGGGCACCAGCTTCCCGCGCGTCAAGCTCTACGCCCACAACATCTCCCTCACCTGCGGATTCCTGTGAAACATCTGGTTCTCAGAGAAGCGCCGTCCTGGAGCACAGGATCGCTGTCGATTCCGTTGTCGCTGTGGGCCAAGGAAGCCGCGTCCATGCGCACCTCCAGCGCGCGCGCGCGGCCCATGCGGTCCTCCTCCCGCTGCCACAGCTTGAGCAGCAGCAGGTGCCCCTGCGCTCGCCACGATCTCCCTGAGCGGGTGGGCCCCGCCTGCCTCCGCTATCGGAGCCTTGTCAAGAAAAGCCTCGCCTCGGATGCTTCGGCTCCGTCGACGGTGACCGGGATCTCCACAACGTGGGCCTCATTCTTGACGGCTTGACGCCTGATCTGACGCTGAGACGGCGAGGGAGGGGGCGGAGAGGCGGGGACGGGGAGGGAGAGGTGGAAGGGGAAAGCGAAGCGTCGGCGCCGCGCTTCCCGCGCTTGGAGGACGGGGAAGGCTGCTTCTTGAGGCAGATCGGGCAGGGCGAGCGCGTCCGTGGCCTTGCGGCGCCGGCCACATCGCCGAGGGGAGGGGCGGGCGGCGGGGCGTTCGCGTGCCGTTCAACTCGGCTTAGATCCGTTTCTTTTTTTTATATATATAGAATAGTATTTTTCTTTCACAAATTTTAAATTTCTTTAGATTGATTCAGATTTTTAAATTTTTTTCAGATTCCTCCAAACGAACAGAGCCAAAGCGCGTATGAGAGATGGAAGAGCAGATAGGCACAGACAGAGAGTGAGGACAACTGACGTGACCAAGGAAAATGGTCACTTCTCTTCTCTGTCTATCTATTTATCTATTTACAACTAAAATTTACGGATTATCGACATCTATCCGGCAGGACAAAAACACTCATGCGATTTATACTCGGCAGGTAAATAATCATCGCATCTCATACAATCCATATCCGATAGGCAAATAATCACCGTATGAAGACACTAGAAGGTAAGTAAATAAAATAGAATATCACCACGTAATGATCATAATCATGATCCAAATCTCGTTTGTCGTCCTTCGTGTTTCGTGTTGACAACAAATATTTTTTTCCTCAAAAAAATGAATTATTGTCATGCCTCATGCGGATATTGTAAGTCCGAGTATACATATTTTGGCAAGACAGAGCATGAATAAATTCAATTCGATGCCTAGCAATAAATTTTTAGCCTTTTAGGCAACTGATGTTTGTCGTAACTTTCAGACAACAAACTTCAAGCCTGGCTTTTATTTCAGATTCATTACGATAATGAATGTGTTTCTAGATATTATCATGCTATAATACATGTGAAAAATTGAATTGATATATTCTTAATTTTAACTTAGCTAACAAACATCTCATTTAATTTAGGTTGCACCCATTATAACGCACGGACACCTATCTAATAAAAAAAATCTAACCGGTACTAATGCTGACAGAACTAACAGTAGTGGCACGGAGACAAGAAGAAAAATCATTTCGATGGCATGGATGACACATGAAGTTTTTGTAAGATTCAGAGGCTCATAAGAAATTATCTTATATTAATTCTCACGAGACATGTTAGAAAAAATAATATTCTAAAATTACTATTCTACTATTACTAATTGAAGGCCTTCAATAGATCTTTTAGGAGACATGCTAGAAAAAAACGAGTCTTAAAAATTCTCACAAAAATAAGGAAGATCTAACCATTGATCCAATAGATTTTAATTACCACTAATAATTGTAGGCATTCAATCCATTCAGTTTTCTTTTTGCAAAAAAAAAAGATCCATTCAGTTTTCTAAAAAAACTTGACATAGCATCTTTGTAACGTGGAAAATGTCTAAATAACCATAAAATATGCTTATATATGTTTATAAATCACATACTTTTGTAACTACTAGTATATAAATTTTTTTTAAAGTAATCATACATGATGTGCCTACATTTTAACTTAAACATTATAACATATCTGTTTCTAAATTGTAAGCACTATATTTTTATAGAAAATACTATTGCACATATAATTCTTTGGTATAGAAATTAATATATTGAACAGTTCAGGGGGTTTGTGCAGACAAAAAAAGTGTCTACGACCTTCCTTAGTTTTTTATATGCCTTTTGATAAAAAATACTTATTAGATATAAATATTAATATTTTCTTGAGGTTAGTACATTGGCCCCTCCTACATTTCCTTTGAAGTTATATCGACGATTTTGAGCACCTCAGTGCAAGCTTAAATGACCTTTTTCTATCATGGTAACTAAGAGCGCAATCTAAGGTTTAAAATTACTATTTCTAATAAAATATTGAACTAGAGTTTTCAAAAAAGGTACCATAAGCAAAAGACTTATTGATTAATTTGATGATAAAAATGGTACTAACTAATAAGATTAAAAATTGAAAATCAATGACGTCATGACTCATTAGACTGAGTTGTGGTAAGAGCTACTGTAAGCTAAAACTTTAACTAAATGTATATTGAAATACATGGAGGTGTCATGTAGAAAAAGATATATATATATATATATATATATATATATATATATATATATACACACACACGGTAAGGCTATTCTACAACTGGCCACAGAATAACTTATTCTATGGCTACCTTGATTTACCATAATGTTTGTACCAATTTACGATAATAACAATACACATTTACGATACATGGGTTACTATAATTCAAGATGATACTTACCATAATGCTATAGTAAATCACTTATGAGAGAGTTACCATAATCTCGTAAATTATTATAGTAATTATCGTAACTCAAAGTGGCCATAGAATAACTTATTCTGCGGCCAGCTATATATATAACTTATTCTGTAGCCACTTTGAGTTACTATAATTACTATGTTAATTTATGAGATTATAGTAACTCCATATTAAGTGGTTTACTATAACGTTATGGTAAATATCTCCATGTGTTATTAGTAACCCAACTATCGTAAATATGTATTGACATTATCGTAAATTAGTATATAAAATTATCGTAAATGGAGGTGGCTGCGGAATAACTTATTTTGTAGCTGGCTACTGAATATACTCTCCACATACACACACATATATATATATATATATATATATATATATATATATATATATATATATATATATATATATATATATATATATATATATATATATATATATACAAAGTACTTGATAAGTTTATCACGGTCAGACAGAGGCCCTTTATATAGCGATTGTATTAGAAAAATAAACAAAAACTGAGCAATGTTTTAAACACAAACTTTTAATGATTATATCTCCTATTATTATAACTTGTGCAATAGCACGGGTTGAGAGATTAGTACGCTAAAAACTGACAAAAGTTTGAAACGTAGGGCATTATTACCAGGTGTCACAAGAGTGGTGTTGCAGCCTGTTCCTGTCCTGTAACCGTCACCAATATTGTTCTCGGGGCAAGAACAGGTATAGCCTCCAGAATGATGTATTTGGCAATGAAACAAATCAGTCTTCTATATTTGGCATTAAAAAATTCAAACTTTCTTATTTGGTATTGAGTTAAAATTTTCTTCCATAAATGGCACTACCATCCATTTAGTGCATCCATCCACCAGTTGACTACGTTGACCATGTCGGATTTGTTTTAGAAGTACCAAAATGCCTTCTATACTGGCTCGCGGTTCGTCTCCTGCCCAGGAGCTCATGGAGGCCTCTTGGGCCTAGCAGGCCGCGGCGGCCTCTTACGCCGGACTCGGCAGATCGAGGCGCAGGGGACGCGGCGGGGCGAGCTCGCCCGCCAGCGCTCCGGCCAACCCACCTAGCTTGTCGCGAACAGGCCGCGGGGCGGCATCGCCTGCCGGCGCTCGAAACGGGCCGCGTGGCTCCTCGGCAGAGAAGGGAGCGATCGAGAAGTTCCTGCATAGTAGTCACCTGCAAGATCCGTTCCTGTGGCAGAACCGCCTAATCTAATGCCTCCCAGTAGTGCTTGTCTTCCATTAGACACTAAGCACCCAGGGGAGAACACTAAATTACTCGGTTCTGTCGGGCACACCCCAGGGGAGAACCTAAAAATCCACATTTTTGCCATCAGGATCACAAATGAGAGAATAAAGCTTACATCATTCTTAACCATTTCTTACATCACCTTTAATACAACATCAGAGTATAATATTTATTATTATAACAGTGGAATGTACTCATATTATTAGAGTTATGAATAATTTAATTTAGCAGCGGAATATAAACATGTGATCAGAATTACAGCGAAAATAAGTATCTAATCATGACATGATAAAGTATTGATATGTGAACTACGATAACAGATTATGAAACTTTCATTTATAAAAGCATTTGATGAGAGTTATAAATAACAATTACGATCGCAGCGTAAAGGAATCCTCGCTGAGCCCACCAGGAGGTATCCACACACAAGGGTCAGCTCTAGCATCAACCTGTCACCTGCAACAGGGGGAATAAAACCCTGAGTACTCAATTGTACTCAGCAAGACTTACCCGACAGGAGAAAAAAAAAGGACTCCAAGGATATGCAAGGCTATCTGGCTTATGGGTTCATTGCATTTGTAGGAAGCATTACTAAGCGTGCGTCCTTATATTCGATTTTTATTAACAGCCATATTGGTTCATTAACTAACCATTCTATGTAAGCACCTGTGCTACTTTCAAACAGGTGGTAAGCAATCAGATTTCTTTTTTCCATCTTTCATCTTTCATCTTTTAGTTCTTACTACGATGCTAAACCGCAGACAAGCCGTACCGGATTTCCCGGTGATTCGCGAATCAATGCCTCCAGCTGGGTACCCCGAAAACACACGCCCCGCTTGTACCCAAGTCACAAGCAGGACCAACCCGTCACCCTCCTGTCCTGGGGTCCTAGGTCCCCGTCCAAACTGGGACTCCAAGCCCCCGCCCCTGAGTCCCGGACTCAGTGCGGTGCAAGGACCTCCTCCACCAAAAAGAAACCCTGACAGTCGGTCCGGAAAGAGCCGGAACCCACGACAAAAGAGCAACAAGTTTTCCAAGCGCCCATACCCAAATATGTGCTCGGGATAATAAGTCTGTGACTTGCCTAGAGTCTTATGCAACGACCGGTCCTTAATTGACGCAGACAGAGAAAATCAGTGTAACCAAGCCATGCCCCGCGTCCACGGCGACACAACCTAAAACACCCAGCAATACCGAAACCATATCCCTGTCCGGTCACCATTTTACCTTTCCACCATTTATATTTTCCAAGTGATAGTAATATATTTCCTATCTCTCGCGAGTGACAGGCAATCACTCGACTTCTACCGGAGTCCTGTAGCATAGCAATCTATACGATCCTGTCACACTAGTAAGACTCATAGGATAAATATATATATATATATATATATATATAT